AGTTGTGGTGTATGAATGTAATGGAATACTGTTGTGTTATAAGAAATGATGAGCAAATGGACTTGAGAAAAACCTGGAAAGACTTGTGTGGACTGATGCTGAGCGAAGTGAGCAGAACCAGGAGAACGTTGTATAGAGTAACAGCTACATTGTGTCATGACTGACTTTGATAGACTTAGCTTCTCAGCAATTCTCAGCAAAGACGTCTCCAAAAGTCTCATGATAGAAAATGCTTTCCATATCTAAAGCAAGAACTATTGAGTCTGAATGCAGATCGAAGCATGCTATTTGCTCTTTTTTTCTTCTGTTTTATTTTGTTTCTTCTTTCTCGTGGTTCCTCCTATTGGTTCTAACTCTTCTTTACAACATGACTAATGTGAAAATATGTTTATAGGAATGTGTATGTGGAGCCTATATCAAATTGCCATTGGGGGAGGGAGAGGGAGAAAACTGAAAATTCACAAGCTTATGGAAGTGATTGTTGAAAACTGAAAATAAATTAATTTAAAATAAAAAGGGAAAAAATGCTTGGTGATTTATATGGGAAAAAAAAGATTCTGAGTTCGAAATTTTTCTCCTTCCTCCCTCCTCAAGGCAACAAGCAGTCTGATATAGTTTATAAACATATTTCCACATTAGTCATATTGTAAAAGAAGAATCAGAACAAAAAGGAAAAGCCATGAGAAAAAAAAACCAAGTGAAAATAGCATGCTTCGATCTGCATTCAGACTGCATTGTTCTTTCTCTGAATGTGCATAGCATTTTCTATCACAAGTCTTTTGGAATTGTCTTGGATCATTGTATTGCTGAGAAGCTGAGACTGTCATAGTTGATCATTGCACAGTGTTCCTGTTACTGTGTACAGTGTTCTTTTAGTTTTGCTCACTTCACCCAGCATCAGTTGATGTAAGTCCAGGTTTTTCTGAAATCATCCTGCTCATCATTTCTTAGAGCACAATAGTATTCCATTACATTCATATACCACAGCTTGTTCAGCCATTCCCCAGTTGATGGGTGCCCCCTCAATTTCCAGTTCTTTGCCACCACAAAAAGAGCTGCTAGAAATATTTTTGTACATGTAGGTCCTTTTCCCTTTTTTATGATCTCTTTGGGATACAGCCCTAGAAGTGTAATTATTGTTAGATCAAAGAATATGCACAGTTTGATAGCCCTTTGGGCATGGTTCCAAATTGCTCTCCAGAATGGTTAGATCACAACTCCACCAAGAATATATTAGTGTCCCAATTTTCCCACATCCTTTCCAGCATTTATCATTTTCCTTTTCTGTTATATTAACTAATCTGATAGATGTGAGGTGATACCTCAGAATTCTTTTAACTTGCACTTCTCTAATCAATAGTGATTTAGAGCATTTTTTCATATGACTATAGATATTTTTAATTTCTTCCTCTGAAAACTGCCTGTTCATATCCTTTGACCACTTATAAATTGGGGAATGACTTGTATTCTTAGAAATTTGACTCATTTCTCTATATATTTGAGAAATGAGGCCTTTATCAGAGACCCTTGCTCTAAAAATTGTTTCCCAACTTTCTGCTTTCTTTCTAATCTTGGTTGCATTGGTTGTGGTAAGCATGTTCCATCTCTGGCCAGGCATCTTTCACTACTCTCTTGACCTTCTTTTTCTTCTTTCCTGTCTTATTTTTTTTCTCTTTTCACTCTACAGGTTATCACAGTGAAAGAGTTAATCACCAAGTGGCCTCCTTTTGGGGCAACAAGGGGAGGCCTGAACCTTTCTGTACCATATCAACTAGTCTGTTCCTTTCACCCTAGTTTAAACCTTTTCAGGCTTTACAGAACCTGCTAGGGCTTTGGCATTGGCATATACTGAAAATTACTGAGGCTTACATTATGGTCTGCCTTCAAGTTTTTTGTGCAGCAGAGGAAGCAGTGGGACAGTAGAAAGAACATCAGCTCTGGAGTCCTGGGTTCACATCCCATCTTGGTGCTTAATACATGTGTGTTCTTGGGTTGGTCTCGTAATGTCTCTAGGCCTCAGTTTTCTCATCTGTAAAATGAGGGAATTCAACTAAATGACCTCTAAGGTCCTTTCTAACTCTACAGCTATGATCATGTTCTTTTATCCTTTTGGTCCTAAGATGTTGGGAAGAGAGATGGCTTATATTCATACTGATATGTTACTGGTTTGAGATCCAGTTATGGGGAGCCATTTGGTGTAGATTCCATTTGATTTTGCCATTCCTCATATTATACCCCACCCTACCCTTCTGTGTAGATGTATGGGGCTCAAACTAGTTAGGATGATGTGACTGAATTGGGTTGGGAACCCAGAAGTGTTGTCTTGTACCTTAACATCTGAACTTTTTGTTTCTCATTTGTGAAGACATTTCTCACAGAAGAAGAGAACAGGTCCCTTCTTAGACATATGTTGGTCTAGGTTCTCTACATAAAGCTGGCTGGGCACCTCTGGGCAGTATTTAGGGTTAAGATTGTTGTTGTTTCTCCACGTTTCCATCCTTCCCTTCCTTTCCCTGTAAATACTACAGCTTTGTCCTGATGTTTCTGGATAAACACCAAGACTATCAGCAGTAGGGCTTTCTTCTCCCAATATTGTAGAACCTTACCCTTGGAAAGGACCCTAAGGCTTCTCTAGTCCAACCTCCTCACCTTATACCTTAAATTCCACATTGTTCCGGATTTGGTAATGAGTTGGGCCTTTGCTCCTTTGTAGGCCAGGCTGGGAAGCTGATGTATGTGATGCACAACTCAGAATACCCTCTAAGCTGCTTTGCCCTCTTTGAGAACGGCCCCTGCCTTATTGCCGACACAAACTTTGATGTGCTCATGGTGAAGCTCAAGGGCTTTTTCCAAAATGCCAAGGCCAACAAGATTGAGACCCGTGGCACCCGCTACCAGTACTGTGACTTCCTAGTGAAAGTGGGCACTGTCACCATGGGGCCCAGCGCTAGAGGCATCTCTGTGGAGGTGAGTCTTTGGGGAAATGGGGTTAGGGACAATCTGGAGGGGACCCCCAGCAATAAATCCTGAAAACTTATGGAATCTTCTAGATGAGAGTGAGTGAGTTTAGAATGTTTGAGCTGGAAGGAACTTTAGACAGTATTTAGTTCAAGCCCCTCGTTTTGTAGGTGAGGAAAATCAAACCCAAAAAAGGGAAATTACTTGGTTAAGATCAATACATACAGTGTGTAAGTAGCAGAGTAGAAACCAAAACTCCATGTTCCTAATTACATCTACATTTCTACTGATGTGGGCCAGATTCTCGCCCCATTGTTTTCCCAGCTACCTGTATATTTCTGTTCTCTTAGAGACAATAATTCTTAGGAACACTGGGAAAAGGACTTCTATGGAATAAGGGGAGAGGCAGTGTAATATACTGGATAGAGAGCCATGCCTTGAAATCAAGAAGGACCTGGTTCAAGTCTCACCCTCTGACAAATGCTAGCTGTGAGACCCAGGAGTTGCTTATCAGACAAGTTGCTGATCTGTATCATCCATGGTTTTCACACGTTCACACTCATAGTTCTCTATACATATAGAATCAGTTCTAGGACATGCCTTTTCCTCTCCATCTCCCATAAATGTAGAGCATGAAGCTATGCTTCACCAGCTGTTTCCCTTGTCCCCATTAGGCCAGAGAAAGATTAGTTTTCAGAGGAATAGGAGGAGATAGCAGATCTGGAAGGTTAATGAGGACTTGTACTAGCCAATAATGATGATAACTCAATTTATATAATGCTTTACATAGTATTCAATTTGATCCTCACAGCCATATGAGGTAGGTGCTTTTACACATGAGGAAAAGTACTGTAAGCACTTGTAAAGTGTTGTAGCTAAACTTTGTCTCTTTCCCAACACCTGACATAGTTCTCTGTACCTACTGGTGATTAATAACTCTGTTGCTGTTTGTTTGAGTACAGAAAGCATAGTTACTAGTGCTGAGGGTTAGAGGTATGGGAGGATTTGAAGGGGGGAGGTGGAGAGAGGAAAGGTCCTTGACCATTACCTCTGTAGCTGTATCTGATGTTCCTGTTTGTCTTTGATATCCTCTTGGATAGTGGTTGGCCACCTTTTAGAAATGGTATGCCTAGGTTCTAAGCCTTTTCCTTCTAGTGCACCAAACACCGTCTCTCATGAGGCTGTGGAATGGGATTCTATTTACTTTTTGTCTATATGCTGACTCCTAATCCTTAGAGAGCAGTGGCAGTTCACTGAAATGGTGTGGAAGGGGGAATGTAGTGACTGTTGGCTGTTGACCTTTGGGCTGATAAAAATCAATCCATATGTCATAAGTTTACTTATTAACAAATATTTATTAAGCCATTACTGTGTTCAAGGCATATTTGTTTGTCCAGCAAACTAACAAACTCTTTTAAAAAAATTATTAACTTTCCCCTTGGTACCCTATAGAATCCTGGATTATTACTATTTTTTTAAACAGGTAAGGACAACTAACTGATACAGCAACAACTTCTTTTTTTCAATTTGATAGTATTTTTTTTTCAATTACATGTAAAGATAGTTTTCAGCATTCATTATTTTGTAAAATTTTGAGTTCCAAATTTTTCTTCCTCCCCTACTCTCTTCCCTTCCCCCTCTCCAAGATAGCAAGCAATCGATATAGGCCATATATGTTCAATCATGTCAAACATATTTCCACATTAGTCATATTGTAACAGAAGAATCAGAACAAAAAGGAAAAACTCTGAGAAAGAGATAACCAAAAAAAGTGAAAATAGTATGTTTCAATCTGTGTTCTGACTACATAGTTCTTTCTTTGGATGTGGCGAGCCTTCTCCATCATGAGTCTTTTGGATTTGTTTTGGTTCATTGTATTGCTGAGAAGAGCTGAGTCTATCACAGTTGATCATCGCACAGTGTTGCTGTTGCTGTGTACAATGTTCTGCTTCTGCTCACTTTACTCAGCATCAGTTCATGCAAGTCCAGGTTTTTCTGAAATCTGCCTGCTCATCATTCCTTATAGCACAGTAGTATTCCATTACATTCATATACCACAACTTGTTCAGCCATTCCCCAATTGATGGACATCCCCTCTATTTCCAATTCTTCAGCAACAACTTCTTACGTAGAATATAGCATTCAGAACCTGTACTCTCCCACCTTTTGTCCGAGAGAAGAGGGAATCTGTTTAGTCCAGGTTCCCTGAAACAAGATTGATAGTAGCATTTAATCCAGATTCCAGTGTCTTTCAGTGTTTTAACAAATATTAAGAACTACTGTGTAAGAATCTAAGTGAAATACACATTTTAGATAAGACTTGTCACTGTACTTTTGGAGCTTACAATCTAGAAGGGGGAAAAGACAGCAATATAGACAGCTTTAATAAATACATAAGTATGTACTAACATACTTATGCAAAACAGTTCTGTTAATGAGGATCTGGGGGAAAGCCATATGTAATTCACATTTCTCTAGCACTTTAAGGTTTACAGAATGCTTTCTTCACAACAACCCTATGCAGCAGACTGACTATTATCTCTATCTAACATATAAAGAAATAGGATTATAGAAGAGAAATGATTTATCCATGGTAACACAGGTCAGGTACAGTGGATAAGGTATCATGTGAGCTGGGCCTTGAAAGACAGTTAGGATTTAGTCATCTATAGGATGAATGAAATTTTCCAACCTTTTTCTTTTTAGAAATTGATACATTTTTATTTCATCACTTTTATTTCTAAATATCCTTTATTAAGCCAACTCTTGTAACAAATATTGAAAAAGAGGAAAAAATGTAGTTCTGCAAAATTAATCAACATATTGACCATTTTTTGACAGTATGTGCAGCATTGTACAGCCATAGTTCTCTACCTCTGCAGTGAAGGAAATCCATAGGTGAATTTTCTCAGTTCTTCTTCAGCGCTAAGCTTGGTAATACAGTTATGCCCCAATCTTTTTTTTTTTCATCTGTGACATACTTTTGAACTTGACAAAGACACAAAGTACTCTCTCTCCTTCCCTGTTCTTTCCAACCATTTTGCTAACTCTGTACACCCACCCATATAGTGCAGATACCCATATGACACCTTCCCACTTTGTTCCTCCATGATTACCTTCAATAACTTAACCTTCCAGCTTGACAGAAATTGACAGTGTATGAAAATTCAAAATGTCATGATATATCAAGTGTGTGTTTAGACATAGAGTTCAAACTTGCTTTTGAATACTGGCTCCTGTATTGGTGGGGTACAGTGGGACCCTCCTTCCATCAGGGTGGACAATTCTTAACACATTATTTGACCTGTGGGCCCATGCCAGGAATCACTGGCTAAGGCAGTGCTTGAAAGTGAAGGCAGCCTCTCAGCCCCTTTTCTTGGTAAACTCAGCCCTGGCCCTTCCCAGCCCTTTGTCCTCCTCTCTCCTCCTCTTCCACCAGCCTTCTGGAACACTCCTCTATATTTTCTTTTTGAACCAGACCTATGATTCCATCACTTAGGGAACTCTTAGTGAGGAGCACCTTCTGTTAGTATATGTGGCACCTTCTTTGTCATTTCTGGTTTAGAGCAGCAAAAGTAAAGTGGCATCCTCAGGACGGTGCAGCTGGTATGTGTAGGAGGTGGGACTTAGATGCAGGCCTGATCTCCAGCCACCATGCCCTCTCGCCTCCTTGACTGTTCACAAACTTCCCTGCATCGTGTACCTCTTCCTCTCTTGTTCCTTCTTTGTTCTGATGCTCACTGAAAGTGCAGCTTTCCCCAGAGGACATCACATTCCCTGGTACCATCCCTGAGATTTTCTGCTCCTCTTCTCATACTCCCAGGCATACAGGACCAAGAGGAAATGCTGTTTTTGATTGGTATAATCCATGTTTCCCACCACCACTTTTAGACCCTTCCTGTGCCAACATCACGTAGCAACCTCTCCTCACAAGTCTCTTGAGGTCTTTATTGTTGCTATCTGCTGACCCCTCTAGGTCATTCTTGCTCTTCCTCGATAAGTTCAGTACCTTACCTATAGTTTTCCCTACCCCTGTCCCCTCTAAACATGTTCTCTCCAAGAGCTTCAGCCTCCTTAATGTCGAGACTTCTGCCCAGTCTACCTCATCCAAGCACAGTGGTCAAACTTTAGACTGCCTGCACTTACTCAGTTGAATTTGTCCCAAGTGCTGAAATTCTTAAGTGTCATAGGAGTTTTCACTCAGTACATTAGGAAATTCAGTCTTGTCTCTTGGTCCTAAGGGTAAGTCTGGAGGACTGATTATCCAGAAAAAAGTCCTGTTTTAGAAGTAGCAAAGAGGAAGATTGTATGAGGGTAGAAGATACCTAAATTGTTGTCATTCTTTCCAAAAATATTTGCTGAGTGCCCAATATATGCCTAACATTGTGCTAGATTCTTTGGGAGGATGTGAGGAGGCACGTGGGCTTTTCCTTCAGTATCACCTTCCTATAATGGTCATAAATATCCCTTTCCAAAACTGTGATCGGATGGAGCACCAGCCCTGAATTCAGGAGGAACTGAGTTCAAATCCGACCTGAGACACATAACACATACTAGCTGTGTGACCCTGGGCAAGTCACTTAATCCCATTGCTTAGCAAAAAAAAAAAAACCCAAAAAAACCTAAACCAAAACTTTGAGTGACCTACGTTTGCCTGCTCCAAAAAATATAGACTCCTGATCCTAGTATGTAGAACTTTCCACAGTCTGGCTTCAGCCTACCTTTCTAAGTCTTACTTTATGGTTTCTGTTGATGTTTCCTTTCTTATAAGTCTAATTTAGGTAACACCTTCTCCATGAAGTCTTCCCAGTGACTCAGCTGAAAGTGTTCTCTCCTTGTTCATATTTCTTATAGCACTTTGCCCGGTCCTCTGTTTTCATTCATTCATTCAACCAGTCATTCAACAAGTATTTATTGATTACTGACTGTGCTATGCAGTGTCTTAATTACTGGAGATACAAATACAAAAAAATGAAATAGGCTGTCAAGGAACATGTACAATGAAAATTAACTTGAGGCATAGCGGAGAGAATCCTGTACCTGGAGTCAGGAAGACCTGAGTTCAAATTCTGCCTCAGGTACAAGTTCTTTGACTCTGTGCAAGTCTCTTAACTTTTCTCAGCCTCAATTTCTTCATCTGTAAAATGAGGATAATAGCACCTACCGTGCCAGGGTTGTTGTGAGTATAAAAGGAAGAGTTAATATTTGTATAGCACTTTGCAAGCTTTCAAGTGCTGTGTAAATGCTAGCTCTGTTATTGCCATTATTATTAACTACAACGTATATACAAAGTAATTTCTAGAGGGATTTAGCAATAAGGGGGATCAAGCTAGGCCTCCTGCTGGAGGTAGAACTTAAGCTGAGCTTAAAAGGAAGCTGGAGATTATTTGAATTGGAGGTGAAGAGGAAGTGCATGTCAGGCGTGGGACAGCATGTGCAAAGTCTGAGGCACAGAAGATGGAATGTTTTGTGTAGGGAACAACAAACAGCTAGTTTAGTTGGAATGTAAATTATGCAGAAGGAGAGTAATGTTCAGTAAGCCTCAGAAATACTGCCAGATAGTATAGGGGTTTAAAAGCTAGATGAGTTTATATTTTATCCTAGTGGTAAAGGAGAGCCACTGGAGAATTCTTGAGCAGGCAAAGGAGATACTTAGATCTCTGCTGTATGAATGGAGAAGGGAAGGGAATTTATATAGCACTTCCTGTGTACTAGCACTGTGCTAAGTGCTTTCACGAATGGCAGTTCTGAAGATATGGAGAGGGGAGAGATGAGGCTGGAATCCAGATTAGGAACCTATTGCAATAGACCAGGCAAGAGGTGACAGGAATCTGAAGTAGGGTGGTTGCTGTGAGTGGAGAGAGGGGATGGATGTGTGAAATCTATTTTAGAGAGAATCAATAAGAGTTGACAACTGACTGGTTTTGAGAGCTAAGGGAGCAGCATCAAGGATGACCTCATGGTTGCAAACCTGAGTGACTGGCAGGATGGTGCTGCCCTTGACTGAAACAGGGAACTTAGGAAGAGGACAGATTTTAGGGGAAAGCGAATTAATATTCTTTTAGATGTTTGAGGTTGTGATGCCTGTCTGAATTCATTTGGAAATGTCCAATAGAGAGCTGGGGGTGTGGGAGTGGAACTTAGTACAGAGATTAGTTTTGGTTGTATAGATTTGGGAGACATTTGGTAAAAATGATCACTCAACCTTTGGAAACTGATGAAATCACATCAGTCAAACACTGAATAAAGAAGAATGCCTTCTCAAGAACAGAGCCTCTTGAGGTAGACTGAGAAGCACTCAGGCAGGTAGGAGGGGAACCAAGAGACAGCAATGTCACAAAAACCTGGAGAGAGGAGAGTAGTATCCACAGGGAAAAGGAGTTAATCATGTTAAATGCTTCAGAAAAGTCCAAAGGGATGAGAATTGAGCAAGGCGATCAGTTTTTTGCAATTAAGAGATCATTGGTAACTTGAAAAAGAACTGTTTGAGTCAGTTAGAAAATGAGAAGCCAGATTACAAATGACTGAAAAGTGAGAGGAGGGGACTTAGAGGCCATGAATACAAATTACTTTTTCTTTGGGGGTCGGGGAGGGTTAGGTAGTAGGGTTAAGTGACTTGCCTAGGGTCACACAGCTAATGTTATGTGTCTGAGGCCGAATTTGAACTCAGGTCTTCCTTAATCCAGGGTCAGTGCTCTATCCACTGTGCCACCTACCTGCCCCTATAAATTACTTTTTCTAGGAGTGTGGTTGTGGACGAGAGGAAGGAGAGATACTAGATGGGAGTTTGGCTGGCCGGTACATTTTTTAAAGAATGGGGAAGATCTGGGCATGATTGTAAGTAACAGGAAGGTAGCCAGTGGTTAAGAAAGAGATGGAAAATTAGAGATTTTTCAATCCTTTGAGCTTACTACCTCACGCTTATTCTTATTGTAATTAGTTTTCTATGTCTTATCCCTGCTATTGGATTATAACCTGCTTAAAAGGAGGATGTGTGTCATATCTTGCTTAAATATCCCTAGCAGAGAGAGGCCACCATGATGGATATACTCAGTTCAGGCACAGAATATGGGTTCATATCTCACCTCTATGGCCATAGGCAAGTCTGTTCAACTCTCTTGAGTCATAATTTCTTTCTTTTTTATTTTATTTTATTTTTTTACTTTTAGGCGATTGGGGTTAAGTGACTTGCCCAGGGCCACAGA